TATTTCTGTTTTTTTTTTTTTTTTTATTTATGCGCATTGCTCGTTCTAATGTTTTATATATATATATATATATTTTTTTTTTGAATGATTTTAATTTTGATCTCGCGGTAAACTGAATTGTCTTTCTCTCGATCGTTTTTTCCAATCAACGATATATATACGTAAAATATATGTGTGTACCAGTTTTTTTCTTTTTTCTTTTTTTTTTTGCTAATCTAAGAACTATTTGGAGTGACGGAAAATAATGCAAAAGAGAAAAGAATATATTTCGATTCATCGAAAGTATTTGCATTCGATATTTCGAAAATGACGGCTGCCTAAGTACGATGCGATACTGTGAAACGTCGAAAGAAAGACATAATGATGAACGATACAGAAAAAAAAAAAAAAGATAGAATGTAAAAGACAAGATGATAAAAACAGAATCGATCGGATTTCTTGTCCTGTGTTACAGCCTATGCGCATTCAATAAAATGATATTGCAAAGAACGACAGACAAATTTCTAAATTATTCGGAGAATCGAAATAGATCGGAAAGAATTTTGACTGTCCTCAAACTACGGCTTCTAACATGTTAAACAGAAATGCATAAATATATATGTATACATATATATATATACAAGTATATATACGTATGTGTGTATATAAAATATTTATGTGCATATATATATATATACATATATGCATGTATATATATATATATATTTACAAGACATATACACACACAGAGCATATAGAGTTAATATTAATAAAAACTTACATTTTTTCTTTTCGCTTGGCGAGACGCGCGCGCGCACACACATCGAACCACACATATACATACAGACGTGTGCGTAGGTATATACAAACATCAATGGGATTGTCGCACATTATTTTCTAATTAACATTGTAGCAAACTTCTTTCCTCTTGCATCGATTCATTCAATCGAATCTTAATAAACATTTAAAAATCCAATTGACTTTTCTCAGCGTCTTTGTGAAACACTTTCGTTGTTTCTTTTGTTACATGAAATATATTCACAACATAAACGTAATACACTAGTTAGGCTCAAGAATTGACACTTGAAATATAGAAACTAAGAAAGATATAATATTTATTCGTTATACGTCGTTATAAGATCGGAATATGAAATTCTAACCTTATTTTATTTTTGCTAACAACAATAAATATAGGTAATAAAAACTAACAAAAGACTAAGTGGAATTGAAAGCTTATATATTTCAAAAAATTTGTTATGTATTATTTCGATATGACATTATGCACTTCACTAAAAAGAATTTGCAATGGTGGGGATAAGACTTAAGGATATAGTATCCGCAACAAAAGTTCGAGTATGTAACGAATAAATGTTGTATAGTTTACTCGCTTGTTCACATGGTATTATATGATTTTATCTGTAGATGGTGACACTTTCGATCAGTATTCTTATTTTTATGATTGTATATTAAATCTTTTAGAAACAACCAATCAAATTCGATTGCCTATTCTTGAGCTTTTAAACTAGTATTACTTATTTATGTAAACAATTCTTGGCTGGTGAAAGGCTAACTCGATCAATGAATTTAAAATTATCAATTACCGATCAATCTCCGTTCTTTATGTACCATGCGTTCTCTTATTCCTTCAACATGGAAGAATAAAGGTATGAATGTAGATACGTTACGATTCATTTGAAGTTCGATCTTTGTCGCCATATTGACTTTTCGATGGTAATAATTTCGTCTCACTTCTCGCTACTTCTTCGCGATGAGCGAAGCTGAACGAGTAGTTTGAAGAATCATTGTTTCGAATAATCGCTTTTCTCGTGACATATTTTCGAACATTTTGATTTCTTCCTTCTCATTCGTACCTTATGAATTTCTAACAATCCTTTCTCGCTGTCGACCTCGTATGCATTTGTGATCAATGACATGTTCAATCACTTGTAACGCTTTCGATATTTAAATATGCAAAAATGAAAAATGATAGTTTTATAGAGTATTTGATTAAAAAAATAATTTCAGATAAAATTTCGACAACGAAACAATCATATAGTCGATAACGATGACGATGTGTGTCCTCGTGGAACATCGACAGCGTGGTACATTCTTCAACGATCAAGCTGCTCGGGAATGGAAAGTTAACACACCTTCGTTCAGTGAATTCCGTCCGCGTGGGAAGCGCTGTTACCGTGCAATTAAACGCCGTTGCGGGCTGCAGTAGCAGCTCCAACACCAAAGAATCTCAAAGGCGTTAATTATTTTCTAAATCTTGCCTGAGAAGTAGACTTGAACTAATGAGGAAAACGATTATCCCTGTATATATGTTAAGTCAACATTTGTTAAGAGAGAGAAAAAAAAAAAAAAAAAAAAAAAAAGAAAAGGAAAAGAAAAGGAAAAAAGAGAAAAGAAGAAAAAGATCCAGTTAACGCGAATTTCCTTCGTCCAAATCCATTCTCCTTGTAAAGCAGAGAGCGGAGCCAATAACAGCAACATCAGTTTAGCAATCACCACGCATGCATGTATCGCTTTTGTCATTCTCCCGTTCCCTAACGAAACGATATTTAATTAAACTCGCACGACTAGATAATACTGGAAAAAAAAAAAAAAAAAAAAAAAAGAAAATTAACAAAATGGAAACGACGCCCGAATGTGGTATACTATATACGTACATAGAAGAGATTTCAGGCGTGCGTTGCTCTTTCTCCCCACTCCCTCCTCCTGATCTGTGTTTTCTTCTCCTCACGCTTATGCCCCCCACGCAATTGTCCTTTTTCCATCTGCCCGCATTCTCGTCGACCCCATGAAGCACACCCACATACGCATACATACTTAACATACACACATAAACGCAAACGTTCATTCTTACAGATTTACAGTTCTCTCGCTCTCACGCAACCCGAACGCGCGTGCATTATCTCGATCTCATGTCATATCACGCTCTCTAACGCTCGACAGGGCCTCGCGCGCTCGATACAATTCCAGTGTTAACGAGTATAAAAGCGTATACATCATATGCCGAGGAAAACGTTCGGAAATACGGACAATGCTTCTTTTCAGAGCTTTCTTTCCCCCTGCCCCGCCCTTTCCTGCTTTCTTTCCCTCTTTCTTCCTCTTTACGGCCGATATTCTTTATGCGTTTCCTATCGCAGTGGTAAGAGACTGGAAATAATTTTTGCAAATAATCCAGTCGCGGCCTTCTCGTCTCGCCTCTTTTCTCCTTGTCGTGCTCCTCTTACTGCGAAACTTTATATATGTGTTACTTGGCAATTCAGCCACGAATAAATTAACCGTAGAAAAGATTTTTCTTTATACAAATATAATATACAATATACATATCTATAATCTAGGTGTAGATGCGCATACACGCGCTTCGAGCAAAGTAACAGCAGAAACGCGTGTATACGCGCATACACGTGCTCGCGTTTAATATACTTTAGTGGTTCTTCTATTCACTCTCTCACTCTCTCATTCACGTTCCACACATTCGCTTGGTCACGCTCGCACTTGTTCTCTGTGTGTGCGCGGTACTATTTATATATTCTATCGTGTATAGACCTATCTATACGTAAGTGGTATGTTTCTGCGTTAATACGCAAGCTCGCGTACCTTGTCATCTTTCTCGCCCTTTCTCCGCTATCTTTCTATCATCTTTCCTACGCCACTATATCCTTTAGCATCATCTCCCTCCCCCGTGACACGATCTCGCGTTCTTCCATTCGTTCTTTCTTTCTTGCTCTCTCAATCTCTCTCGCTCGCTTCGCATTTTCGCGCGCGCATGGAAGAATAATAAATAAAACACTCGCGACGTTAGACGTACAAATTCGTCATTCTCGATTATCGTTTCTCGACTTAAATGCAACTCTTGTACTTAATGCAATTTTCATTTTGCTCCCTCTCCTGTCGGATAATCTCTATGCGTAGAAGAGCAATTTTGTATCCCCCCCTACGTGAGAGATAACACTGCGGGTGTTGGTATTACTGTTGTTGTATCTCTTCCAATTAGAGTTCCGGCGTGACAGGGTCGAGTAACCTTTTTTCCGGATCCCTCGAATCCCCGATATCATTCGCGATCGGATGATGTCTGTTTCCGGCGTTCCCAGTCGTGTTCGGATTACATCTGCATCCCTGGGCTGCGTGCCGAGCATAACACACCTCACACGCCGCGACACATCCTTTGAACGGCCAGTAGCACAATAAGCAGGGCATGACGAGAGTTAAGGCGCCAAGGCAGGCCCACCTGGAGACTCTCCTATTTCCCGTACAGGAGCACGGCTCGTCCGCACAACTAGCAGCCGCTTCCCCATCGATTCCACCTGACCCATTCCCGTCTACGCAATGATAAAACAGTCCCTTCACGCAGCACAGGCAAGAAGCGTAATCGAGAATCGTGTCGGCGGAACAGAAACACTTGTTGTCGCACAGCCATTTGCTGGGCAATGGAGGCGGTTCCCGACAAGACTCGCAACGACATCTACCGCAGAAATTGCACATTATCGACAAACCGGCCGGATCATAAGTCCTAGA